GAATGGAGACACAGAAAAAGCAATGGGGAAGAAACAAAACTTAAAAACACACAAACCCAAACCTTACCGGGGTCATCCGAATTGTCGCGTGAGTCCCACAACCCTGTATAGCTTTATGAAGTGTTTCACTGAACATGCTGCGGAGTTCCACAGAGTGACAGTAAACAGCATCAATCTTGGGCCACCAGTCCAGTGCAGACTAGGAAATACGCATTTTGTTAGCATCACTGTCTAAAGGAGCAAACAGGATACACATGTGGTCCCCTTGCAATTTTTTAAAATATCTTTTCAAAATAGCTACAGCCCTGCACATGGCAAATGCAACTAATGTAATGGAGCTGCAGGGAGAAAGAGGGGGAAAAAAGAAGCGTTAAATTATTTTGAAGAACATGAATACTTTGTAAAGTCTTGAAAGAAAATTTGTTAATTATCTCCTCTAACCAAGCACTCAATCTGTAATACCTGCTTAGATTATATTTCACACAAAATCATTTAACTTTAGTTGGTTACTATGCTGTCTCCTTTATGATCTGCCACCTTGTACATAAAACAAACCGTTACAGAACTTAACTGTGAAAGGGCTCAGGCCAGAAGAAATACAGAATGAGTGTATAATACTTTTAACTTGACTATTCAATCATGCAACTCAATTCATTAGAAACTGAAACATATTGAAAGCCAGCAAGCCAGTAATAAAGCTTAAGAGAAGTTAGCAACTGTTTATGCCATGACATATTAACTGTAGTATGGAAAGCAAATACTTGCACAACAAATTGCAGCAATGAAAATTCTTTGCACCTTGTTGTTGCAAAGAAAAATTAATCCCACAGTCACCTCACCCTGACTCCCTAGTATACCAACTTATTTTTACATCCTAGAACTTGATGCCATGGCCTGATTTAGATGCTTATCTATATTAAGACTTTTGCATTATTCTCAGGCCAAATTTCTCTCAGAATGGTAACAAGTTCTAAGTTAAGTAAGTTAATTTAAGATGATTGTTGAGTGTTATTAGAAGAAAACTGAATAGCAATTTAACACTGCCATTCCATTCATAAACATTATAAAAGCAAATGGTAACATTTTAAGGACCTATAGATGCGCAGTGGCATATTTACATGAGCAACTGCAAACCCTGAGAATAGTATTGTGGTCTTTTTTTTTTCTTAACCAGATTCAGAAGCTGTTCCCCCAAATCATACCTTTAAATTCTTATTTATATACAATACTATACAGATATATGGATCTAATCAACATAACGTCCCACCCTTTTATACTTCCTGTAGTGAGGCCACCTTTAACACTATGGAAATAACTGGAAGAATATAATGTAGCAGGTCATACAAAAATGAACACAATCTATTTAAACAAAAGCCTGACTACTTGCTTATATATCTTTCATCTTTAACAGTCTCCATTTCAAGATCAAAGTCTTTTAAACTCCAAAACTGTCTCTGGAAACAACTCAGTAAAGAGATTCATTAAAGAGATTAATGAAATGTTGCTAATTAAGATCCAATTTCAGATGCAACTGTCTGCAGTAGGAGACATGTTCCTTTTGAAAAAGGTTTCACCCTCCACGCCCCGATTTCACTGGGTCGGAATGACATTAGTGTTTTTATTTGTTTCTACCTTGCACTTTCTATATGTCTTTTGTAGGAAGAGTGAGTTATTGCAAAAGATCCTATTTCCTGCTGCATTTGTGTTTCATTAGAAGGTACTTTCAAACATGCAAAAAGTACAGGTCACGTATCAAAGACAGAGAGAGCAGCATGCCTAAATTCTGTTTTACTATGAAAGTCCAAAAGGCTGACATTCAGCCTCAGGGCAGTTCCCAATCCATGCATGGGCACATGGTCTATCCTACCAAATTTAAGCAAACTGCTTTTTATTTAAAAGGGCAAGATAAATCCACGTTCAAAATGTAGTTCTGCTTCTTTAACGTAGCAATCAAATTTCAAGTTTCAGTGAAGAAAGGGGCTAGTTACAGGAGGTCTATGAAGAAAAGCTCAACAGTAGTTCTCGAGGAACTTGCATGGCTTTCCTGCAGAGCACAGTGCTGGCAGAGATGGGTGGCATTCAAAGTTAGAGTTCGTAGGGCTGAAATGTACTAACATCTACTTGGACTGGATTCAACTCTGCTCTAGGAGGTTTTACTTCTTAAAAAAAAATGCTGCCTTGTCTTTTTACTCCATACCAAGTCCCCCCAGCTGTTCACTGCAGCCACCTGTTGTCATTTATCTTAGATTGTAAACTCTTAAGCTTCTTGGGACAGGAAGCATTTGCCTAAGCACAGCGGAGCTCTGGTCTGTGTCTGAGGCCCCTAAACACTGCCATACTACAAGTGAGAAATTTGCTTCCCCGGGAAGGCTGCACTGAAAGGAATAAAAGGATTGGGGAAGTAAAGGAACTGCTATAATGAGACTGCTATACTTATTTGTTATGCAATAGTAACATGAAAATTACAGGCACACGTAATATGAAAAGGAGCAAAATAAAACTTACATTTTCATCCTGACATTTCTGCACATTTAAATTGAGCTGGAGACACCTAAGAGGGGAAACTAACCTAGGAATGGATGAACAGAGGGGCCTGAATCGCATTGCTTATTAACGAGAAAACCCTGCGGCATGTGAAGGAATTAGTAGCATGAGAATGTTGAGCACTGTTTAAACTCCTTCCATATCAATATTTGGACTCCTAAACAGAAATCACAAATCTCTGGATTAATTAAGCCTTTCGAACACACAGCCTCAGATTAAAAGCTCATTCTTGATCTCTTCTCAAGTGAAATGTGGTACTGTCCAACTGATTTCACTTGAAACTTTGAAACTTGATTTCACTTTTATTTTGAAACTTACATTTGTGATTATTCGGTGAAGTGAATTTACCAAGACATAATGAAATGTTGATGGGGAATTCTGCGCCAAGCAGATCTAAAAGAAAAAAAAAAGGCCATTTATGAATACTGTTAATCTTTAACAGCTCTCAGATCAGATCAAACAGAACACTGGAAACAGGACATTAAAAAAATAACGGCAATACTAAAACAACACTAAGAATGGCATTTTAAAGTATGTCTAACCAGTTAAGAACAGATTTTATTACAATTATTTATGAATTTCTAGATGCTGCTAGCCCAACCCTGATGTCTACATCATCAGGAAAGACTGCTTTTCTGAAAAGAGAGAGCCTCACCTTAAAATGTTGGTTGTTGTGGGGGTTTATGCGGAAGCAGGAAACTAAGCAGTCAATCATAAGATCCACATCTGCATTCTGATTACCTCTTGAGAATGGCTTACTCGGATTAAACAGCAAGTTCTAGACAAAAAACGGTTTGGGTATGGAGGTTACTGCTTTTCACTTCTAATATACCAATACATTTACAAAAGTCAGAGACAGACTTGCTCTTCTAACACTTGCACTGTAAAAAAAAAAAAAAAAATCTGCTTATACTTGTTGTTTCTTAAACTTGTTAATGTTTTAACTAGGCTAATATTAACTAACCATTAATAAACCTGAAGAAAGGATCTACCTTAAGCTTGGATTTTCATAGACAGTATCTTAACTAATGAACACTAACCAGGAAATTCCGAGTGAAAGGCTAGCCCCCTTTATCTTTAATGAACCCATTTAGTCATTGCAGGGCGTCAGTTGATGGATTCATTACTTGTTGTATTACCTACAGTTAACGGGATGCTCTGAAAGCAAAAAATGGGCAGGTTTGAGCATTACAGGACAGTGCTTGCAGGACACTGGTTGCACGAAAATAAAATCCCCCAGTTCTCTCAACCATGCTGCAGTTAGTGGAAATGAAATGTATTAAGTCAAGAGACAGAGCAGCATGTGAGATACAATTAAGGACTGCAAATAAACTGCAACAGAAGAGAAGTTCTAATATTAGAAGGCACAGAGCTTTCTGATAAAGAAGTCTTAAAAACACTCCATGAAAAGACGTTCTGGTTTGTAGTTAAAGATAACACACATTTTATTTTGAATATTAAATATCCTAAGCACAGAGGTCCTCATAAGCTCCAAGTCTGAAGTTTCTCCTCCTCTTTACCTTGAGATCTACCACCATGGACTGCACCAGAAGGAAAATGACAGAGTTATCCTCCCAGTTGATGTATGTAGACGCTTTGCACAGTTTAACACAAGCAATAGCAGCACTTTCAGTCAGCTGTCTGCTCCCACCATGGCCTGCCAGCGCTTTCCTGAGGTTGTCCAGAAACAGTTTCTGCAGAATTCAAATATACCAACCCAAAAGAGAAAAAAAAAAGTTATAACCCGTTTGGTGAGCTCAGGACAGAGCTTTTATATCTTTAAATACATGTCTTTAAAAAACATATTCCAGACATTTAGTGAGAAATCAGTAAAAGAGGGATAGTGGGGCAGTGGAAGAAACTCAAGTATTTGATTTGAAAGGTATCGTCTGATGTTTCAAAATATTATGATTAGTCAGTTTAGAAAAGTACATTTTATTCATTACAGAACTTAATTTTGTACCATTTGCAGTTGTGTTATGGTATCATCATACATTCGATTTTATCGTGGTTGGCCCGGATGCTACAAAAACAGATGACTGCCACTATTTAACTGCAAACTTCTGTAGCCATATCAAATTCTATCCCTTTTGTAGTATTACATTTGTAAGCTACATATTCATACACCCCAAAAACATAGCAAGTACAACGCAGACATGCTAAAACTAATGCTACACTTTACTAAAGCATGCAGCGCAGAATATGAGGATTCAAAACTCTTGACAGTTCTTTGGTCTCAAGGCTGACAGAGCTGAGTGCTTAGGTAAAATTTTGTTTAGTACCTCCATAAGCAAATGACTTATTGCTCTGCACCAGAATATCTATGTAACCTTTGTCAAGCAGAAAATCCATATTACACAAGATTTTGAGGGTCGAGAAAGCAAAAGGTTAAGTAAGGTCCTCAAGACCTCAAAGCTCCATGTAGCATGCCACTACAAAACACTTCTGTAACTTGGATGTCTATCGACTAAGACAACATTTTCTTCACCTTGTTTATTTTGGTTTCTTCCACCACATCCTTAGCTATATCTTGGATGATCTCTGGACACAGGACGAGAAGAATGATTTGCAGTGGCCAAACTGCTGCTTTCCGCTTTGTGCTTTCGGCAAAGCCATCCACCAAGTCAAACAACTTCTCTGCGCAGTCTACATTTAAAAACACCCAAATGACTACCAAAGAGTTGAAAAAATAACATTAAAATACCCTGCTACGTTTAGCTTACATTTGCTGTTTGGCAAAGAACATTACCACTCAAAGGAAAAAGGACTACAAACATTAGGACTTAAGTTCCATAAACAAAAGAAATAAGAACAGGAAAGCTGAACACATGATTTATGCACTAAAACTACTGCTATGTGGTGTTTCAGACATGCACACTATCCACGGAAGAGAAATGCTATGCAAGGGCTAGGTACTGCCTTTAGAAAAATTAAGAAATGAAAAAGACAGAGCAATTCGAATGCCCAAGACAAAAACATGATTGATCGTAAACCCTGCGCCATAAAGCACTGTAATTTGCACGCACGAACGTTAAATATTTGCTTTAAATATTTCACCTTTTTAAAAATGAATGAGGAGTCATTCTTTTTCTGAATGATCAGTTCACTAAATGCTAGTATAATTTAAGTGGAAAATATGTTCATACACAAGTAACATTGGCTGCTTGCAGATGTTAAAATAACAAAAACAAAAAACACGTCCCCACCACACCCCTGCACAATGTGCTTTACCAGAAGCAGCAGTGTGTTGCTTCAGCCTGGCTCTACAGTGTCTGTAAAGATTGGGCCTTTTGGCACCTTTAGTTGAGCTGATTCAATCAGCTATTAGAAGAAAGCACCAAAAAAGCACCCGATCTGTACAGACATCAGTTTAGCCAGGTCCAACTAACACGCTGCCTCTTCTGGGCATATGCTGGGCCCAGCATGGGAACATGCCAAATTTAAAGTAAAGTGCCGTTTTTGGGGGGTTTTTTAATGTCTGCAAGCAGCCATAAATATTAACATGTGCATACAGGAGTAACAGATCCTTTGACCTGTATTCAGAGTTCAAACCCATACTCTTCCTATGGAATAAATGGAAACTAAAAGGATCCCTTGAGTATCCATATATGCAGAAAACCTGACATGAAGTTTGAGGATGAGGAAGAAAGGGAAAAAACAAAACACAGATGGGAAATAGCCTAGATTGGTCTACACAGAGGAAACAGTTGTGTTCTGCAACCATGTCTGAACTTGCCATTGTGGCTACATTGGGCTGTTATGACTCTGGAAAGCATTTACACATGTGCTTTGATCTATTCCTAGTCAGGAAGAGACTTAACACAAAAGGCCTAAGTACCCATTCTGAGGTCAGGATGGCATACTTTCCCTGTATCAGGGTCTAACGTGTATTTGTAAACCCATTATTATATGTTTACAAGATACACTTTGCATTCATGTGCTGTTTACTTATGTGCACCAAAATAAAGGTCTAAAGGAAAATGTCCAGACCCCACCTCTTACCACCCACTTCCACTTGTGGTTCAGGGAAACAAGCAAGCATACATCCTTGTCTGTACCGCCAAAGGAGACAAAAAAGCATCTCTTCTGCCCCAAAAGCAAGGCACATTCAAAATTCACTGAAGCTGCTAATTCTCAAAGTAAAAGGGGGGGGGGCGCAACTTAACCTGACAAATCCAAATCAGCTTTCAAAAAGTACATGTTAAAATGGCTGGTTATTCCTTACCAGCCATATCGGTCTGTGGTGTCTGGTACAGTTTTGTGAATTCATCAGGATAGTTTTCCACCCAATTCCAAAATGCCTACAAGAGACAAGGCAACACATCTTTAAGCATACATAACCATCAGTTTAAGAAATAAATTCAATTTACAAAATCAATTTCTAGGGGCAAAGAGATGTTATTCTACCCTTCAGAGTCAGCAGGCAGTGTTTTTATAATGTGTCATTTAATTTCACCACCCACCCAAAAAACAATAACTTTCCTGTAAGTTAGAGGTGTCAAAACAGATGATTTGCTGTGTAACCTATGCTGCTTTACAGGTTCCCAAATTAAAAGATAGAATGAGCCTTCAAATCAATAATTGAGGAACAATATGAAAAATTCAGGCCCAAATATAACAATGGTAAAATACTTGCCTTTTCAAGACTGTTAATAACAGCCAGTTGAGCTACTTTCTTTAGGGCTTTAAACTTAAACACTGTCTCTGAAACAATAAAATATTTCAGTATTTGTTAAAAGGGTTTTTCCTTCAAAACAAGTGTAGAGTATGTATTAATTCATCCTAGTACGGTATCTAAAGGGCCAAATATCTGGAGTTTTTTTTAAACCTTTAAACAAATTATAATGTTAATGGCTTTAGCACATTATATTATTTCAAAACCAATATACATAGTAAGACCCATAGCAACACGCACCTTTATGCAAATACAGATGCACCAATTTAACTATATCTATGTCTAGCAGCATAAAATTATGTAGATCAGCCTTCACAGATACAGGTTCAGCTCTCAGCCTACCTTGCAATAGTCGTTTTAGTTTTGCACAGTCCACACTGATGTACTGTAAGAGTTCAATATCATGAACATCAGCATTATCTTCCGAGCACATAGTCAGCTCCTGTAATCTAAAAATATGAAAAGTAACTTACCAAAACGAATGGTGTCAGCAATGACTGATGTGTTCATTTCTACAATGCTAAACCTGTGAATATTAAAGGCATAAGGACAGGATCCTCTCCTGACTCCTAAATGGAACTTAGTCAGACTCAAGAATTGAAAGTAAAACTTGGATGATAAAAAGTTAATTTTATACAACGTTTTCCTTTCATCGTCTTAGAAAAAATTGTTTCTGAGATTAAATGCTCAACACTCCAAGCTATTAGCCAGCTTCCAACACCATCTGTTGATACGTATATTTACAACAGCATTTTACCCTATGTCCTCTAGCTATTTACTATGCTATGGATGCAATCAATATTGCCTTTCACCTAAAAGTACCAACCTTCCTGGCTGATGGAGCCTTTAGGCCAACATCCCTGAAGAGCAAATATCGTGCTTTATACTTGAGCTAGAACATCTGGACAATAATCACCAGCACTCATTAGGTCCCAAGGGACCTGTAGCAGCCCTCTTCAACTAAAAGGAAGGCCAGGTTTTCCTGTCCCTAGTGAAACTCATTTTGTTTTAATCACATCAGCTTAAGCACAATGATAAGTTAGTAAATTTCTTCCCTCCTTTTTTGATGACGACTTACTAACACCGTCCCAGATCACAAGGTCCTAATAACTAAATCATATGGTCCTGCAAGTTAAGGATGGCCATGGTCTGTTCCAAAGCTACAGACGTATATTTGACATGATATGCGATTTCTAGCATTACACACAAAAGCAGTCTTCATTTCATCAATGTGGGGAAAATTTAACAGCCCACGCTGGGAATGGGAAGGTCCCTGATGCTGTGCTTTACATGCCAAAAATCCCCCAGCTGCTGTACAAGGCCTAGAAATATGCCTAAACAGGAAGCACAGGTCAAAAGATCAGCAATGTTAACTGTTGGCAGGCTGACCCCTGTGGAGATCAGCAACAATTGGCCAAATGTTTAACCATTTCTGTACCAGCCAGGTTGAAGTGAAAGACAGGATTGTGTGGGGGAAAAAAAAAAGTGAAGTCCAGTTTAAAAGCTAGCCTTCAATTTCAAAACCAAGCAAGGAGTAAAAAAAAAGCTTTCAGAGCACAACTTCTAAACTATAGCACAGATGTATGAACAAATATAGATTAAAGAACTATATGCAAGACTAGGTTAACTGTTTTAACTATTGCCTGTGTAATACATGGGAAGAATTATTTCCTACTGCATAAGAAATTGAATGTAATCCACTCACTTAGCAAAAACCACATCCTCCATGCTGAATGCCAAGTCTAGGTCCTTAAAACTAAGGCTATTAAAACCCTTTCACATTTGAGGAAAAAATGAGATTTCAGTGAATTAAATGTTTACCTAGTTAGTTTTCTGAAATGGGAATGCACCTCCTTTCAAATGTTCTGGAAGGTCTAATTATATAGGGTGCACAATTTCTTATTTCAAGTAGGCTGTATCAAAATAGCTCAATCTGGCACATTTGTTGCTGTCCAACACTAACAAGGTAGCACAGGATCCAATTTTAACAGACCTGTTCCTGGTTATAATCATCCTACGCAGGTAAGCATTAAGCCATTTCACACAAGTTTCAAAAGTACTTAAAACCATTGCCTTAATAAAAGTTTACTAGGCAACCTTCGTGGGCTGGCAAAGGACATAACGGCACTAACGCTAAGGATAAATTGTAAAAAGGGCAGAGGAAAGGAACCAAAAATTATTAGAGATCTAGAATATATACAAGGGTAGATTGGAAGAACTGGGATTAAGTAAGTCTAAAGAAGAAAAAACTGAATGTGATTTGATAACAATCTTCATGAACCAAAATGGTTGTTACAAAGAGGATGGTAATCAACTATTTCCCATGTCCACAGGAGACACTAAGAAGTGAGCTTAAATTACAAGGGATATTTATTAGGATATTAGGAAGAAATGTCTAACCATGAAGGCGATTAAGCGCTGGAGCAGATTGCCTGGAGATGTGGAGTCCCCATCACTGGAAGTTTTAAGTGCAAAATTAGACAAACACTTGACTACGATGTTTTAGGCAGAAATGTTTCCGTCTTCAAGAGGCTTAGACAAAATGACCTCCTGAGGTCCCTTCCAGCCCTATTTCTCTAGGGTTCTGTCTCTAAAAATAAATTAATCTAGCATGCAGAAAATCAGCTATAAGGTAAGTTTTTATCGGTTGGAAGTTAAGCAAAGTTCTGGAATAAGAAAGGAATTTTATTCAGACAATTAACATCCTTGTTAAACACAAATACCCCACTAGCATTTAAAAGAGTTTTAATATTTTCCAGATCAGAAAACCTGCAGTTCAAGGCAGAGCTTTATTTTCAACTCCATGGATTAAATCCAAACAATTCTTATAGTAGCTGATAAATTTCTAACCCACTGCATAAGCTATACCATCCAAGCACTCACCTGGTGGAAATGCGGCTAAAGACGGCATTAAAGTTATTGCAGCTGAGAGAGAAAAGAACCCCAGAGGCAGAATTGCGAAGCTCGGCTGCATGTTGGTTTCCTTCACGGAAGGTGTGGATAAAGTGGCATATTTCTGGCAGCAACTGTTTGACCAGCATCGTCTCATCTAGCCGCATGGTGTCCTTTGGTTGCTAAATCAGAAACATCACATTAAGATTTCCCGAAACTCCATTTTGTAGCTTTACATGCAGAAATGTTATCTAGTCACTGCCATCAAAGGGAGAAATCTGAACTTCTTGCTTTATACACACTACTACTTTACCTTTGCAGGTATGTTTCTAGAAACTGCGAGTCCATTAGTTGCCCAGTACCATTAAGTATTGACTGGATTATCAAAACATTTTCAAGCAAAAAATTTGAATGCTTCAAAGGATCAACTCCCTCTGTAGAGAGAGGGTTCGACCTCTGAATCCTTGACAGGACTGAAATGGTCCCCGAGGCCATTTCAACCTGCATAACACACAGGGGGAAGGCAACTGAGTGATCCTTGCTTGGCTAATGAGGATAAGATGAAAACTAATCCCCTCCCTCCACCCAACCTCGCCCACCCCCAGTCCTCTCTCAGTTTTTTGGCTGCTCCATCTCTCCAAGTCGGGAGAGAAGAGTAGACAGAAAAGAGGGTGCTCCCCTGCTGACTCACAGTATGAATCCAGACAAGAACAAGGATGGCTAGACCTTCCTGTAGGAGAAAATCCTTTTTCCCCAATTTGCACAGTATGAGACATGGAAACTATTTTACAAAGAATGTGAAGTGCAACTTTGCTCTACTAAGAACAAGTCTTGACAGAAGGGTCAGTATTTAAAGCTTTCTAAAATTCTACCAATGAATTTCCAATAGGGAATTGGGAAGTTGCAGCCACTCCCACTCAGTTGACCTGAGTCTTGTTGCCATGAGAACTTGGTGAAACATTAAGCAAGAAATGTCTGAAGATATCACAGAACACAACTCTCTTTGTATACAACTTTGGCTCTATCTTATTAAATGTATACTGGCTCAAACTGCTTATTTGAACTGACAAAGCAAGAGGCATTCAGTACAATTTTAAGCTGTTAAAAGAAATGTCATCATGTACACGAAGAACACTGGGGTTTCCAAAACTTTGGATTTTGGGGTGTGCACCCTTTAAAGAAAAGAATTCAGGAAAGTTTGACAAGTCTAAAGCACAAAACATTACAGGAAGAAAAGTAAAGAAAAATAGGTTATTGACTTAAAGTTGAAACCTACTCTGTGATGTGCATTTACCCATATCTCATTGTTCATGAATTTGAAACAGAGCATTTATGTTGAATAAAAGTACTTACTACATTTACAAATCAAATCCTAGTGTGTTTAAAGTGAAAGATCTTTTAAAGCCGGCACAACAGAATTGCAAGCTTAGATGATTTCATTACATCCATCCATCCTGAGTTCAAAAGCAATCCCTTTCTGGTTAAAGGAATAAAGTAGAAACGCAAAGATTTCACCCAAGCTAAGGTTTGTCTTTGCAAGTATACAACTTTGCAGAAAGAACTGTACAACTGTTTATATCCCAAAGGTAAAAGCAAACTGCCTCTCAGCACAGATTTGAATGAAATAGGAAAGTTTCTGTGGAAACCTCAAGACTGGACTCCCACTGGAAGTTTGTACAAGGTTAACTAATGTAAACGAGGAAACACCTGCAAAAGTAATCTTTAGTATGGTGACAGCAAAGGTTTCTGTCTGTGTATACAGTTACACAAACCAAAATAAAATTACATCAACAAATGTAAGTTGCAAGAAATCTCTGCCTTATTTAAGAAAAGTGGGCTTCCATAAACTTTAATAAGGATTTTTATTTTCATTTAATCTATGTATTACTCTACCATTGACTGTAAAGCTACCCTTTAATTTTTTATACTGTCTGAATTGTGACATGAAAGGATTTTATAATTTTGTTGGTTAACCTACTTAGAAACTTTCCACATATGCAGATCCAGTAGAAACTTCGCACTAGGATCTGTTTCTACACCAAACTCTGTCTCCTATGAACACAACAGTTGGTTTTAGTAGAGCTGTTTGCTACTAATTTTTCATATGAATTGCCAGAGAAAAAAAGCGGTATCATTAAGAGTTCTGCAAGAGGAGGAAGCGGAGGGCAGGTCAGTTTTGAAAGCTTTTTGGGCTCCTTAAGTTGAAAATTGAGACATTTTTAATCACAGTTACGTACTACATATTAGGAAGGAGACGAAACATTTTACAATTCATTCTTATTCTATCACTTGCACTAACATTTCAATGCACAGGAGTTTTTTTTCTAACATTAGCATCTATCCTGTTATGTGACATAAATTGCTTCCAATTTTAGCAGCAGCTAGCACACAACCCTATGTATGACTTCTGCTTTCTGTTTACATAGGCTTTACCAACTTAGGGTTAATGACAACTCACCCCTGCAAGACATTTTTCCAGTGTATCCAATATAATCAGCTGAGAGAGATATAAATTCTTTTCAGCAGCTTCTCCAAATATCCTCTAGAAAAAGAGATACAGATTTAGCTCAGATGTACAACCTGTAGATTATGCTAAAAATTACAGGTGGATGGGGGTTAGGAAGCACAAAAGGTTTATGTCCTAGCCTATCAACCTTCAGAATTCTGGGTACAAACTTGGAAATAGGACAAACAAAAGGAGATTAACAGTTATATCTTAACTCCTGCCCAAAAGTATCACAACAGTTTTGACATGATTAACTTGTACTGCACCAGCAGAACCACAGAACAACATGCCTGGAGGTGAACTAGCAATTGAAGTGGGGAGCTCAGCCAGCCCCTCACTTTTATGAACCCAAAATCCAGACAAACAACAAAGGCTACACTTCTCTGGAAGTTAATCTAGGATCTAATACTGTTTATCTTTTCATTTCTTCCATGCTTTATTTCACTGCCAATATCACCTAACACAACTGAGCTTCCACAAATCTGTAGCTTCTCAGTGGTTCAAAATTTAGCACAGACCCACAGGAAAAAGCTCACATAATACCAGAACCTCAAAGCAGATGCTGAATTTTAAATCTAGGACACAAGATTCCATCTGTCAGGTATTTACGCTAGCATCCGGTTTCACTACCAGCGCCAATGGCCAATTATGTCAATATTTGGACTGGAACAGAAGAACAAAGCAGAGAAAAGATACCCAAAAATACAACTGGTACCATTGTCTGTAGCTAGAACACTACATTCTCCTGTTATATTTAAAGTTGCCTGAAAGGTTAGTTCAAATAGCTATAGATTTTTGGAGAGAACAAGGTCTTCTAACTAGATCTTTTCTCTAAATGTGGACTATGATGACACTACTGGAGTTTCCTGACTCTGATGGAGGAACCCTTGAAAAGTATTAGCTACTGAATGAGCTCGCATCTCTTCTTTAATCATGGAAAAGCCCAATCCTTGCTGTTTGGTTTAGGACACTGATGAAGAGACACATTCCTTCTTGCCTGTACTTTAAGGCAAGTAAGGACTTTCAGGAAGGATTCATTTAGCAGCATCAACTTGGGTTAATAAATTCAGTTATGCCATTTCCCTGAAAAGCTACACAAACGTTTCTTCTAGCTCTATAGTTTGCACCCCAGTTTATCCTACAATAACCTCAAACATCAACAGATTTCCTCATGCCCAGGAGGTTTAATTATAATTCCCTCTGAATGAAGATAACAGGTAGGATTTTAGGTTGCTTACTGTTCATTCGCTGCAGAGCAGCATGTTTTCGCTCTCTGATTTGAGCTAACAAGTAAATTATGGAAGATTTTTATCCTCCGCACATTACTAATATGTAGAGTGGGCAGCTGATTTATTTGCTGGCCCCATTAGTTTCTATGGCTTTTAACACTGTAAGCTTTTGCTGTCCTTTCTATCTCTTTCTAACAAGTATGCAAGCTGGCATTATCACCTGCCTTTTTTGCAAATCCACCCAAGCAGTGACAGTTAGTAAGCAATCAACTTTATGATGATGAATCCTAGTATTTGGAACATATTCCCCCATGAAAGGTGTTTTATTTCATCCCTCTCCTCTTAAAAGGCTCCTCAAACTCCATATCTGGCCAGCAAAAAGGTAATTTTTATTTTTCCTTGAATAAACACTTTTGACCATAATTAATACCTTTACCACTAGTTGGTTTTTTTTTCTTCCTTCCTCTGGTATCAGGCACCAAAGATGCTTCCATTGTTAATATTAATGAAAAAGGGGATCCAATAATGCTCTGGCATATTTTTTTGGAAGTGAATTTATTGTGCATTTTGCTGCTCCTCAGACAAACTGAGCATTGATGGAGACCATTCATGTTATGTTAAACCTTTGAGTTTAAGAATATGCTTCAGGAAATTGGAAGGAAGGTCCTTTGGAACCTCTTTCTCCCATTCTTTTACTCCAACTTGTAGCCCTCAAGAATTCAACATTAATGAGATCTCTGACTCAACCAAGAACAACTTGGAATCCCACACGGCTTGGTCCATGGACCTTTACTCTTCAGTGTCTTCATCAGTGACTTGGATATGGGCATGAAGTGTACTCTGTCCAAGTCTGTGGATGATACTAAATTGTGGGGTGAAGTGCACACTCCAGAGGGTAGGGAACAATTGCAGGCAGACCTGGACAGGTTGGAAAAGTGCGCAGATCAGAACAGGACGCAGTACAACAAGGACAAATGCAGAGTGCTGCACCTAGGGCGTAACAATATCTAGCCCACCTACTGGCTAAGAAATGACTCTCTCAGCAGTACAGAAGGGGAAAGGGATCTCGGAGTCATAGTGGACTCCAAGATGAACATGAGTCGTCAGTGTGATGAAATCATCAAAGCTAACCGCACTCGATCATTCTTCACGGTAAGGGTGGCTAAAATTTGGAATGGGCTTCTAAGGGAAGTGGTGCTTCCCCTTACCTTGGGGGTCTTTAAGAGAAGGCTGGATAGGCATCTGGCTGGGGTCACCTGACTCCAGCACTCTTTCCTGGCCAGGCAGGGGGTGGGACTCAATGATCTGTTGAGGTCCCTTCCGACCCTAGCATCTATGACTCTACACAACTGAGCTAAATCAAATGTCAGCAACATGGGACGAACTGTGCAGGATATACTCCACTCCCATCTTCACTTATTTTTCTTTTCTACTGACCTGTAAGGGATGAGCTCAGGAGATTCACTCTTTAGTGCGACTACTAGACAACCCCAAACCATTTCCTTAATGGTTCTTAACTGATAACCTTGTTTAGCTCTTTTTTTGAGGGCGTCATTGATGACAACGCCACCTGCAATTGACTTCAGGAAATGCTTATGTCAGAACATGTGAGCAGAAACTAGAGAGACTTATGTCCAGGCTTTAGATGCTGTTTCTGACAAGAGTGAACAGAAAAGCTCCCATCTTGCCAGGGTCTCACTAGCTTTGAGCAAGTGCCCTTCTCCTCTCACAATGTTATTGGGATGCTTTTTCAGTTAGCTGGTATATTTAAGCCATGGGATGGAGAGAACCAGTCCTCACTGACCAAGTATCATTTACACTACATATTCCAATGATTTGGAGAATGCATGTACACATATTGCTTACAAACACAGGGTAGTGCAACATGCTGAGTTGTACCTCTCAAATAGTAATATATCCGTTATCATCTATTATCTCAATGGATAACCAAAAAGGTACCAGTGAATATAATATCACTAGCATTCTTCTCTCAGACTCTGTTGCCATATCTAGCTCATCATCCTCACATGCAATATGTATATTACTACTTTCAATTCTGTTGCTAAATTTTACTGCAGTTAAAGTTGAGAAACTGGAAGGGGACCCAGAACCTATTGAATGCACAACACGTAGCAGCAATTTGACTCACATTTCAGACCAGACATTCCAAAGTTTTTGATAAATCCAAACAAAAACAGAAAGAACTTACCATATTATTAACATTTTTTAAGATATTAGTGAGACCACTTATGACCAGGGAAAACTTGTACTTGGAAATGTTTATGAGGCATTCCTTGTTATGTTCTGTGCTGACTCTGGTGTGGGTATTCTGTTGGCCAGCTTTTATTGGAAGCTGCAAATAAAAAGGAGTATTATTAACATCTGTACAGCAAGATAGAGACTGACATTTTTACAGGAGAAAAGCAGCAGAGAAAACTTTAAGAGTCTAAAAAAGGCAACCTTACAGTAAGTTAGCACAGTACCTTACTTTTATATAAGATTGTTTTACTTCCTCTGTCCGTCTGCTAAGAAATCTCTTATTGTGTGACACGCAAACCAAATGAATAAGTAACCGCAGTCCTACAGAATGTCTCCATTTAGAAACAATTATTCATAATAATAAAAAGGATGCAGTACGTTCTTCTTCATTCAAATCACTGCACTGGATAGCTCGTCTAAGTCCAACCATGCAGTCAGTTCAGTAATAGGTGTCACCCACAATCCTCACCTCACACATTTCCTCGACCATCACAGCTACAACAGCACTCGAACTCTACCGTAAAAATAGAATTTTAAGTCTTAGAGGAGGAACAAGAAACATGAAAAGGAATTGCCCATGAAGACAATTATGAGTCAGTGGACAGACCGTGCATTTCAAGCCTCCACACAAGTTGAAATGTAGGGTGTACAGTAAATATTAACAGGTAACCGACAGCTGCTGAAGCTGTTTGGTATTAGAAGTGACAAGTAAAACTATTTAACCCCAACTGTTGGGAAGGGAAAGCTAATGGAAAACTAGGTGTGTGCCTGCATAGTACCTAGCCCAAAAACCTGGGATTCTTCTTCATTGGGTCCTCCCAGTGCTAATGAAATATCAACACCAAAAGCAAAGCATGGGTGATAAAATGAGAGGCGGTATAGTAAGATGGAGAGCATGAAAGAGAGTTCCTAAGCGCAAAAAGTTTCAGCAGTGTCGCTGAAATAGTGCAATCTAATGCAATCTAAAAATATTACATAATTTTCAGCACTATTCTTGAAACAACTGTTCCTCTCAAACCAAGTATGAAAAACAAACAAGCAATAAAAACCAACTTTAGATCCTCAGCTGAATTTACCCTAGAAAAGCATTGCTAGCCTTCATATGCTACACAGCTCTTTTACACAGATTCTTTTGCGATGTTGCCGGTGGCACATTTTACCCTTAATTATTCTTGTTACAAAATTTAAGTCCTATTTGTACTTCAGTAGCACTCTCAGACTCCAATCTGGAGCTTCACTGAGCTAGGCACAAAGTCATACAAAGACACAGGATCTGTCCCAAAAGCCTGTCGGTGAGTATTTCTGTGATGAGAGCTCAAAGGGCATTTCACTTCTGTATACATTGCAATTCAACTCATCAATGCCTATACTTTGTGAATGATTCAATTCAGGTGCTCAGTTGCAAGATGCATCTGTTTTCTCCCATCTTCTCTGCATGCCCGATATGTAGATTAATGAAAGTTATATTTTGTGACAATACATTCAAAAAAAATAAATCTTTCTAAAATTTCTCCCAGCCTGATGCAGAAAGAAGACCGTCAAGAAGGATCTTTTACATCAAGTAGCAAAAGTTAGACTTCAGAGGCAACTATTCCACCAAAGATAAGACTTGGAGCAATTTGACAAAACATATTAATCCTACTCTGTGAACACTAGACACTTTGTTTCAAGCTGCACTCAGTAAATTCTTCTAAGGTCACAGACCAATCATTTCCCTTGTGTGCAGTTTACCAGAGTCAGTTGGTTACAAGCCATCAGACCACATTAAAATGGGGAAAGGAGGTCTTTGTTGAAATTCGCTTTATGGAAGCTTCATGTTTAAAAAAGAGTCAACAGATTAGGGAAACAAGAATGCAATCAGCACATCATCTGTGTTTACAAATCACACACACTATTTAGGTTTTGAGCAGGACCTAAGGATCACTAATTACAAAAATGTCAAATATTTAAAGTGTTACTTTCTTCTGGTTTTAACTAGATCCCACTAGAACATTCTGTAAACTTATATCCTGAAAACACATCGATGGTTCAAAGAGATGCACCGAAAGATTATTTGAACTGGAAGCCCACTCTCTTTAAGCAAACCCACAGAATTTAAGAGCAGCCAAGGGGAAAAGTCCAAGCAGTTTACATGTGCTTAAATCACCAGGAAGCACTGAAGGTTTGGGGTCAGCTTTTAATGAAAAGCTGTAGCATCTTAACACTTAGTTTATAATATTAAAATGTATAAACTTCCTTTTAATACAGTTATAATGAGATTGACCTGAGCCAGCTATCAAAGACTGTTTTTAAATCCAAAGGAACTTGGTCATGATGGTTATGGCTATCCTGTCCAGTGATCTTGACCCAGAATTGTACTGCAGACTTTTATTTGGAATAACTCTTCAACAGCTGTACCACAGCCTGACTTGATAGCAGATGTCATTGTACTTCTCGGGGTCTGAATGCCAGCAGAGACTAAGCGGGTATAAAAGAAAATGAAGAAGAATATTGAACTGCCTAGTGCAGAGAAATTCCTCTTCTCTGTGCAACCGTCTCTCACTCCTACCTCCCAAAGCTAACTGTGAGACTACAATTTCCAAAGCTGGTTAAGGGGTTTTTGTGTGTGCTTGTTTCGTTTCTGTAACCCAGAACTAAATCCTGCTCACATGGGAATTCAGGTATACGCAGCTACTTTCTCACATTAACAAAATCTGACAAAAAAATGACTGTATGGTAACTCTAACATGAATATGCATATAGCAACCTGTAAAAATATGGGTGCTATTTTGTATGGATGTTCATTTTTCAGCGCAACTATTTTACAGGAATCTCAAGTTACCTGACAATTAGAATCTGCTTTAAAATTAAGTTAACATAGATTCCCCCTTCCAAAAGAGATAGTTACATTTTAAACACTGGAAGTGACCAAAAAAAACGTTTCTGACTCATGAATACTTTAAGTGAATATTGATTTTGGAGTGATTCCTCCAATAAAAAAAAATGACTCTTCATTATGCTGGTTCTCTTAGCTGACTGCATTTTGTCCAGCATTAGAAAGATACGTATTTTGCAGAACTCGTACAAACAAATTAATTAAAAAACAAACAAACATGAATTACCGCAAGCAAAGGATTAAAATAGGAAAGTCCTCATTAGGTCAAATTTTGCTGTTGGTTATAATATTGCCAATATGGAGTAACTACAAAAAAAACCAACAACCAAATGAGTCTGCCACATCCTAAAATAAATTCCAAGCAGAAGTAGAGGCATTGCCTAATTTCTTATTGAAAAACAAATGTAACATAGAAGTTTACATTTTAAGCCTTGTAAAGCAAGTATTGCTTGTTAAAGGCCCAGGTTCTGCAAAATCTTATAAATGTATGTAAGTTTATGAACTTTAAGTGCTTATGAACTTGCTTAGGAAGATAACTTGAACCCTACCGTACAAACAACACTTGATCATTACTGATGTAATTTACAATGACAACACTGCAAACTCATCATTTTTACAACATGCAAGAAATTATAGGTTAGCAATATCTTTTACCTGTGCACGCAAATATAAGCTAAACAAAAAAAATCAATTTAAATTTATATTAATCTTTCCATCCACTGTCAAAATGCTCATTCTCAGCCATCTCAATAAAGTCAATGACATGAAGAACTACAAACAAGACCAGAGTACACAAGTGCTGATATTTAAAGAAAAAGAAAAGTTGTTACTAATTTTGTAAAGACCATTTTTTTTTGTAACACAATCAATGAGAGGTAGATCACTTAATTAGTAACTTAGAGTTATTGGCAATCTTTATTTGAAGTTCCAGATTTGCAGGAAACAGCAGAAAAGTCCCATCTTACTAAATGACACAATATTTCAGAAGAGTCTCAAAGTGTTCAAAAGATATTTCATGCCACAGATCTGGTTTTATATGCCTTTGTACTAAAGAGGCAACATGAGATATATATTTTGGAGCGTCTTACCACAAAAGCCACAAAGCAGCGTTACTCTTAATACTATCATTAAAAAATAGGATACACAGACACTAACATTAAGTTTTTGTATAAACTTATTAGTGACACCCTTGAATGCAATTCAAAATAAGGGTATGGTGCTGTTCCTCTGCAGTCTTGTTAAAAAAAGCAAAGAGCAACAAAACTATAACCGTAGCACTAATATATATATTAATTTGATACTGAAGGAATAAGCAAAAGAAAATGCCTACAATTAAAACATTTTAGTCAAAAAGGACAGGATTCCTGCATTACATTTATTTTAATTACTATCACAAAAAAAGTTAAAACATGATGCACAAATAATCAGGCCATATCCCAAAACTATGAATACATGCACTGTTTTGTACTCCTCTAGGCTACTAAGTGGATGAATTCAAGGCTCATTTTAACCTAGTAACAACAAAATGGAAAAGGATGTGAAGGTCATAAATCTAAAGGAAGACAGTAATCTGAGCTGATGCAGCAGTGGGCTTCACTGATTTGAATGAGGGAAGTAAAACTGTGTAAGAAGCATCATTATTATGTTTTAATCTGAGGGATGCTCTGCACCAGCAGTTTCCAAACTGTGGGTCACAACCCCAAATGGGATCACAACATCAGCAGATGGGGTCACAAGGGTGGGGGGCTGTGGGCTGGGCTTGAGGGGCCATGCTGAGGAAATGGCGACACATTGAGATCAAGTTTGGGAAGCTGTGCTTTATATGGAGTTTTTGTATCGATTTAACTATATCATTACATCAGTAACTTAATTAGTCCATCCTGGTGGTGTCAAACCCTGAAGATCTCTGGGATGGTCTGCAGGCCGGATCAGGCAGTACTGGAGCCCAGGTACAGGACCAGTCTGGTGCGGCACTGGGTGCGATATATTCCCCATGCTGGCCCTGTTGCCATATGCAGTGCACACTGGCCCCACTCTGGGGCTTGTGCTGCAGGCCAAGAGTGGGCTGGACCCTTGCTTGCAGCACAGGGGTTGGCATGAGGAGCACACTGCATGAAGTGCCCTCCAGACCAACCCTGCTCCAGTTTGGCCCTCACCAGCACCAACGCAAGAGCTGATCCAGCAGGGCTCCAGTTGAAGCATGCAAGCCATGCCAGCCCCAGCTGCTATGCAACAGAAGCCCCTGAGTGGGACCAGCAAATGCTGCACCCTGTGTGCAAGCTGGACTAGCCACACACACTGCATGCAGCAAGGGGGGCTGGCATTGTGTACACACTGTACACAGCACCCTACCAGGTAAGCCCTGTGTGCTGGCTCCAGCATGGCCCAATCTGGACCAGCCCTGGAGCTAGCGCACAACTCCCTGATGGTACACGAGACTTCAATCCTTTTTTCATCTTCCTAGTTCTAAAAGGCAGACAACACAACATGTGAATTTTGAAAAGCATCTGAGAATGGAACCAAGAAAATATCAAAACATATAAACTATAGCAGTC